AATCAATTCAGTATATAATCTGGGACCTGGAAGAAAAATATTGAGGAAAATACACATGACTCTAGGACTTAAGGAGCATTGAGGGACCCAAGTGACAAGTCAAATAGCACACACAGTTCTTCTGTGCTCTCCCGTCTTTACCCTTTCCTTCCTGATATTCTACTCTTACGTCTCTCCTGTTCCTGACCTCCCCATTTGTCTAACATTTACACTGGTTTGTCTGTATTATCAGCCTAGGTTGTGGGTTTAAGAAGTTTACTTCTATTGTATTTTTTGGTACAGTAAACAGAATTGTAGGTTAAGAAAATATTTGCAGAATTTCCCTAGAGTAGATATCTGGTAAACTTACGATTTTCTTTGTAGGTCTAGTGAACTTTGGTGTTGGTCTTTAAAGACATCCCACACTTGATACCATGTGTATTTCATTTCTGAGGTTATTCTCTCAGCCATGGTGTCAATTCTGACTCATGGAGACAGAGAGGGCTAAGCAGAAATGCACCTTTGGTTTTCTGTGGCTGTAAGTCTTTACAAGGGTTGAAAGCCTCATCTTTCTTCTACAGAGCTGCAGCAGGGGTTGAGCTGCTGACCTTGAGGTTAGCGGCCCAATGTACAATCCAAAGGGCTGCCAGGGCTCATTTTGGAGGCTACACTAGCATTATTTTAAATTTGTTTTCTACTTTAATTTGATTTTATACATTTTGGGGCACTACATATGGTATTTAAAAAATCATTTCAAAGGATGAAGACATTTATATGCTTTAAGTTAATTATTATTTTTATATTTTCTTTGAAGTAAGACACTGCAGATCTAATATGGATGGTAAAATATTAAAGCTCTTAAAGGAACATACAGACCAGACATTTAAAAAAAAACCTAAATATAAATAAAACAATCTGAACTATCTTAAAAATTGAGAACTCTCTTCATTGAAAGATACTTTTAAGTGAGTAAAAGAGTAATTCTCAAAGTGGAAAAACTTTGCAGTCTGGGGAAATAAGAATGAACAAAGGCTGTTTAATTCAAAGCTTGCTTAACAGGGGAATCAGCTACCTTTGATTTGGCAGAGACTCAAAAGCAGGCAGGGGACTTAGGAAGTTGTATAGAGAAAAATAGAGACTCAGGGAGACTCTTATTGGAAGCTCTTGGCATGGGGGAAGACAGGCTAAAGCAAAGCAGGGCATTTTATATGGTTGGTGGTGGGAGATGGAGGTGTATTTGGTTTTCTTTGGTTGGTCCTAAGTAGCAAGTAGGGACTAAAATTAAGGAAGTGGTCATATTACATCCTGGCCATATGGGGCCTGTTTTTAAAAAAGTTTTTACAAAGAGTGTAGTTTGGCTACCTGTACTGGTAAGTGCTGAGAGTGATTCGACTGGATGCGATAGATTTATTACGACATATGGTTTTTTATTACGACATATGGTCTGGCCATTGTCCATTTGTTCATTCAGTCAGTCTCTCAAGTGTGTATAGCCAGCAAAGAACTCGGATAAAAGAGGCATTCCTACAAATAAGTATGAAAGAGAAATGTTAAGATCAGTTGGTATAACTTAGTTCGTCAAGGTAATGCTCTCCATTCTAGTTTGGAGAGTAGCATCTGGAATCTAAAAAATAACCATTCAAGATAAAACTATCTTAGATGCATATCCTCATCAGTAACAAACAAAACAGAAGGAAACTAGTTTATATGACTTATAGTCTACTCTAACCTTGAATTTATCTACTCTATAAACACAAGCACTATGAAGGGAGGGACTTCAGAAATTCTTGGGAAAAATTGAATCAAAAGATACTGGAATATTTTCATGAGCCTTTGAAGCCCCTTTGATATAGTACATGCATATCACTACTACCTTTTCTAACCAGAGACACAATAGAAGGTCCTAGTTAGAATAGAGAGAAATATGTAGACCAACATTCAAATTTTAAAGAAGATCAGACTTGCTGGGATGATAGGGAGACCACTAAGATCGCTACACAAAGATATCCTTTTAACTTGAAACTAAAGCTACTCCCCAGACATCTCCTTCCAATCAAAGAATAGGTTGGCCTATAAGCTATCGGTAACACCCTTCATGAGTGCACACCTTTAAACAATTAATGACATGAGCAAATGGTGGACCTTTACAACACAGCAAACATGAGCAGGCAGAGTGGCCAGGAGCCTGAATGGATGGAAACAGGGCAGGTACGGTGGGAAAGGTGAGAGAGCGGACACACTACGCCACCCCATAAACGGGGCAGGAATTGCTGCCCGGACAGCTAACTGGCGGTATAACCTTCTCACTGCAAATACAGTATTCACATATACACAAAGGAGACACTCAACTGAACAGAGAAATGATATCTCACAAGGAATGGCGTCCACACGGCCAGTACACATCTCTTCTTTCTCCAGCTCTTGAATTAGCAGAGTACATCATTATAGATCTTTCTTACTTTATAATGTGTGCACAGAAACTCATTTAAGCTGAGCATTAGGTACACCTCACCAATTTTGATGTGTTGTTTTTATTTTCTGTATCTTAAAGAATATTTCCTAATTACCATATACACTCGGGTCTAAGCCAAGTTTTTCAGCATATTGTTAATGGAGTTTTTGTAGTAAGATTCGGTGTCTCGCTGATGTTTGGGTTGGCTTATACTCGAGTATATGTGGTATTCTGGGAATGACTCCATGAAAGAAGTAGTACTTACAATTGGTTGCTTAATTTCAAACATTTGGAGAAACTCCTGGCATCTTTTCAGTATTGGTGTTCAATTTCTATTGCAGTCCAAGAGAAAATCCTGCAGGAACTAAATCCTTTTCTCTCCTGAATGCCGCTGTGTTCAGTGAAGATCCTGGCTATAATTTAAATGCCCTGCAGTCCCAAGTGAGTGACCTGTGGCAGTAGTTTTGTTTATATTCCCAGCTCCACTCCCCCTGGTTTTGTCTGGCCTTCAGGAGTTCCATCAGATGTATGAGCAACCAAGTATTCAGCAACAAACTCAAAGGAAGTCTTAGGCATATTTCTCATAGCCTTTGTCGATCCCTCAGCTCTGAGTCCCGTGCCTCACAAATTCCAGCTGTTTCAGCTTTCGTAGACTTCAGTCTGTGCCCTTCCTTCAATGGAGTGACATTCACTTCCTCTGGGTGTTCCTCTCCTTGCACGTTAGTCTCAAAGGTGACCTCAGGCAGAAATCTGAGGCTAACTTCAGGGCTCGTTTTGCTTCTTTCTTTTCTCTAGCAGATCACAGGTCTGTACTGTTAGTGGCCGGTGTCTTAAAAACAGTCGGGATAGATTTTCACTTGTAGCCCCTCCTAGAAAACCCCGTGTCAGAACCACCAGAGCAAATGGGGAAGACATCAGTCAGCAGGCAGCCCAGTGCTCACCTTGCTCAGTTGTGCCCAGGGCACTGTGTCCACCTCCTTCAACTCCTCACTTAGGTTTGCTGATGCTCAGCTGGACTGGAGAACAGAGTGGCTCCTAACGTCTGCAAATATTTTTTATAAAAAACAGGGTCTGTGTGAGTTCTTCCTGAGAGGAGCAAAAGTGCAAGTGTAGCACACCTGTAAAGAACCAAGAAATAACCTTTCTAACATTTGCAGTCTGTGTTATGATGAGACGGTACATCCACTTTTGTGGATGGGGCCCACTTTTGCTTGGTGGGAACATCTTGCTTCTAGTATGTTCTTAAGTTCTTGGCAAAACAAATCAAGAACCTAATGTAAGCTTAATCATAGTTGAGTGCAAGAAAATTTGGAATTGTCATATCTTTCTGATCGGTCATTCCTTTGATCATATATGATGACTATTTGCATCCCTAATTTTTTCTTTCTATATATATTTTAGCAATTTTTGGCTTGTGCTATTTAACCCATTGATTGACTTTTTAATTTCACCAATTATTTTATTTTACTTAGCATTTCTATATATTCTCTGGTTCTAAAAGTTTTATAAACTCCTGTTCTTTGTTATGTGTGTTTGTCACCAAACACACTTAAAATAAAACAATTTAAAGGGAGTTTTAAAATTTTAGATTTATTCTGCGAATTTTCCCATTGGGATTGAGTGATAAGTAGACTGTCATTCCTGGCCCTGCACTTATTTATATATTTAATAATGCTTACCCACAAGTCCCAGTTATTGGAAGATTGTTTTCCGTGGCGCTGGTTCTCCTTGGGATTTCCGTTGTAGAGGAATCTCTACAGAGGACAACTGTATGTATCTGTGCGCTCTACTATTTACAAAGGGGCTTGAAAACGTCTGGGGGAAATTCCCTGTCTTTAATTCCCTTTTTTCCATGAACTTTTTGAAGCTTTTCACACATGATTCAACTCTGAGGCTAGTTTTGTAAGCTTAAGATTCTGATACTACGTGGATGATCGATTCTTCCCCACCTTGCCCTGAGACTCCAGGCAGGAGGCCTTTTTTGATGAAACTCCAAACAGATACTCCCAACATTCATTTTTCCATTCAGCTGATACTTGACTTCCAGGAGCCCACGGTTAATCCATTGTTGTCTGTCAGCCACGCAGGCCCACCCTTAGGCCCAAGCATCCTTCTTTATCCAGAGTTTGAGGCCAGTGTGTGCAATACTTGATACATGTCTGTTTCCATCGTGACCTAATTCCAGTTTAATGGTAAAGGCTCCTCTTTCTTTGGCATCTGAAGATTTACTGTCTTTGCTTTCAATTGTATGTATTCACCTTTTTAAAAGTAGTATTTTGCCTAGTCTATGTCCTAGAAAGTAATTGGGCAACCTAATATATGACTTTTTCTTTTTTAACAGTAGAATCTATGTATTAACAAAAATCACTTGTTTAAAACACTTTAGTTTTCATATTTTCATTAAAGCCACATTAAGACTATAACTTTATGGATTTGTTAATATTGTTAATAGACTTTTGCCTTTTTACTCTGTGTTTTATATTTTTAAAATACCCTTTATGCTTTTATTTGGTTGCTACATTATTTCTTACACATTTAAAATTATTATTTGTTTTATGAATTTTCATAGAATGGATCTTCAAGAAGAATTGGATAATCTTAAAGTACATATATCCATTGATAAAGCAACAATACAAGAATTAAATGCACACATGGAAAAGGAAAGAGAAGGTAAATTATTTGGGAAATTAAATATTTAATGCGGGCTTTTTTAATCATCAAGCTCTTGATGCCTTAGCTTCCATTTCCTCCAAGAATCTTCCTCTTGTTCCTCTTTGTCCCACTGTTTTCCTCACTGAATGACTCCTTTGCATTTCTACCGATTGTGAGGAAATGAAGTAAACAGAAGGCCTAGAATTCGGGTTCATACTTAATTATGAAATTATGCTCAGTATTCACGCAGCATACTCATTTTTATTAGTTATTACTCATAGTTTTGACAGTACTTTTTTTCCTGGAAATAATTTCATTCTCAATTATTGCTGTAGAAGCAAAAGCCTGAAGTTAGAAGGAAACTTTACAGATCTTCCAGTCGGCTGTCTCTCTCGCCACTGGACTGACACTGTTGAGGAATAGAGGTTGTTCTTCTGTTAAAATCAACATAACTCTATTTACGCTACAACTAACTCCTCATTTATTATTCATCTCATTATCTGACATTTGATATTTATATCAGTAGTGAAATTTCTGCCCGAGGATTTTGAGCGTAAGGGACACACTTCTGGAAGTCACACTGTGTGTAAAGGACACGATGCTGGCTGAGATGAGTAAGGTTATGTGTGTGTCCCTTTGGCTGCCCCATGCCTCCACGTGGTTTGGGAATCAAGCCAGGAGAATTAAGTGAAAAGAGCTATAGAAGATAGAGTAAGAGAAGTTTAAACAGCTGTGAATGAGCAATGCTAGCAGGTTAAGAAGACAAAAAAAAAAAGGATAAGGAAGAAACTCTTGGTGGAAATTATAAGTTGGACTTAAATTGTATGATAATGAAACAAAAGTGAAGCTTTAAAAATTAAAATGGTAATAATAAATCTCTAGTAAGGCAAAGGTAGTGCCCACATATTTAGCATAGGACAAATTGTAATTCTGGCGGGGCCCTCCTGGCCCATTTCACCTGGGCTGAAGTCATTGAAGTGGAAGACGGTCACTGGCCCCAGGTGCTTTACTAATTTTTATGGAACCTTGAAGGTGAGAAACAAATTCTCCGCTGGGAACCACGGGTAAACGCTGTTAGCCTGGCCACCAGTGGGCTTTCATACCCCCAAGAGAAGCACATTCACACGTAAACCAGTCCTCAGCATCTGTCATATTGCAGTTATTTAGCCTTGAGAAGCACTCTACAGCACTGCTGTTCTCTTGTTTTTAGGGTACAGAGTAAATATTTCAGTCAGACTATTGCAGATATCCAAATGACTGGAACAGATACATTTTATTTACATATTAGCTCTAAATTGCTGAAAGAATATAGTAAATGAATTCAGCACCACAGCGTTCAGGGACTAGAAAAGGGAACAGGGAAACTGCTGGATTGTTATCAAGGTAAAGGTACATATTCCCCAGGTGGGGAAGTCTACCTCTCCTGGCTTTTATCATCATTTGGGAAATGTTCTAGTTCCTTCATGAGTTCAGAAGTCTTAATTGGGTATGTCATGTTCCAAAGACAAAAGAAATGCCTAATTCACCCTAACAAACTTGTTAGTCACTGCTTATACCAAGAGGATTTCCTACTGTGCAGATAATAATATTGTTTTCTTTTCCTTTGTTGATAAACCAAAGTTTTACAGCAGCCAAATAGTCGTTAAAGCAAAATCATCGGAAGCTAACTCAGATCTCTTTCCTTTGAGCTCAGTGTATTCTATTGTATCCCTGTTTTTATTCTTTGAGAAACATTGTATTCTAAAAATGATCAGTAAAAAATGTCAATTAAATGGATTACAGTAATTTATCTGGCGAGTAAAAATAAGTATTTGAGATTTACACTTTATTCCTGTTTGGCTATGTTTCCCCTTTAAAGTTGCTCTGTTCCATTTGGGAAGGTTTCAGTGTTGTCAGATCCATTGCCAGCAGAGGAATGATGTGGAGGCACAGCTTTACCTATTTACCTGGGAGCTTATTTGTTATGAAGTCAAAGTTGTTGTTGTCTTTCCTGGAGAAGTGATTTCTGTAAAATCGCCTGCCCAGGACATGATCTCTTGCTTTTAAAGTGGGGGCTGTTAAAGTCTCCGTCCACCCATATTCGGTTCCGGTTTGCTTTGTTCTGCAATCACTGTGATCCTCCTGGCAGGGAACATGGTCCAGAGAATCAAACTAGTGGCGACTGTGTAGATAAAAAGGCAGTGAATTCTGCTTTTAAGGCAAAGGGGGGAATAGCCTACAAAAGCATGAAAATAGCAATGAAAGTACAGCATCGTTAACCTGCAGATCTATTGTACCTTTGAAAATCTTACGCTGCAGGGGGAGGCAAAAAAAGCATGACACTACAAAGATACATAATTGTGTGACTGAAAATCTTGAAAGAGGTCCCCATTCAGGTACTGACCAAATACTTGACAAGAAAATAGACTGTATTATTCATAGTTGAGAAACCGGGGAACTCTTTTTCTTAAAATGACAGGATAGTGGTTCAGCAGAACACGAGGTGCCATAATCTATTATTTATTCTCTACCAGAACAACTTTTTAGACACAGCGAAGAAGATGGGGTCAAGAAGAGTACTCGAGAGAAGAATGGGAAAGAAATGTCAGAACAGACATTACAGAAGGTAATCTAATCTTTATGATATTGAGCTGAGCAAGTTAAATCTGAATTTTAACATAAAGGATTATATTTTAAAACGAGGGTTCATGAATTTAAACCTTGTGTGAGTCTTTAATTTAAATTCATAATTCAAAACCATTGGCTTGCCAAAATGGGTTAAAAAAAAATCAATGTTAGTGAAATAAATGTGGAAGCACTTATGCTTCTGTTGACATATATTGAAAATATTTTCAAAGACGAGATGACGAGAATGGAAAGCAATAGAAATTATCAAAATTTAGACTTTATGTGCTGATTACTTACAGAGAAGGGTTTGTGTTTAAAACGGTTTGGTGATGAGATTCGCTGTGCTGCACTTCAACAAGCGTTGAATGATCTGCAATCATTGAATTAAAAAAAAAACACACACCACATAGAGTTTTTCATTTCCCATATAGGAAAATGGTAATATGCTTAGGATTTTAATTTTAAAGTTGAAAATGTACATCTCATCTCATTTTAGATGAAAATTAATCTAAACCTAATTTACAGAGTTCCAAATGTTAATAAGAACACCCATGTCAACCGTTCAGCGGCCCTGGGACAATATGGTGTCAACAATCTTAACATTTCATCTTAATGCTTTTAAACTTGGTTTGCATCCTTGTATACAAACCCATTATCAAGTTCAATTATTTGAGGTTCATTGCCTTTTACCAGTTTTCGTTATCGTCTAAAATAAAACACTACTTAAATAGGTTAAATCAAGCTGAAAATAAGCAAATCTGTAGATAAAAATGTTAACATAACTACTTATGTTTCTTGCATCTGTGAATTGATTTGTAGGAAGTATAGTGATTTACAGCAGATGCGATTCCCTATATTCTAGCACTTGCCATATGGTCAGATAAGGAAGGCTGTCATCTCATTATTACCGAATGGCACACATCAGGTTAACATAATAACAGAACACAAGAAATGCTCACCGCCTTTTATCTTAAGGTAAAATGAGCCATTGAAATAATCTATGCACTGCCAGGTAGAATCTCATGCAGTTTATACTAGCTTATCTCTGTTTAAAAATAGTATTTTTGCTCCTCAGGTTTTATGTAATTTTTATCTCTCTAGGTATATATAATACTAGGCTACTACTTACTGCCTTGGGGTAGAAATGAAAGAAGTCCATTATTTAATTCTGACTGCTACAAATGTCTACTAATATAATGCATCCAGAAGTTTATTTCAATGACCAACAAGAATGCCTTTCATTGGACCATATGTCGGATTAACCTACGAATTCGTCATTACTTTTCTATTAAGCAAATGCCATTGTTAAGGAGCTCTGGTGGCACGTGCTTAAACACTTGGCCACTAATAGAGAGGTTGGTGGTTTGTACCTACAAGACACTCTGCAGAACACGTGACCTGACGATCTCTTGTCCAGATTACAGTCCAGGAAACCCAGGTACTGACCGGTAGGGTCTCCGTGAGCTGGCGTACAGCTTGGTGCAAAGCAACAAACTGCATGGTGCTGCGTCCTTTTCACAGATGAGGAAACAAAATGGGTGAATTATTTTGCCAGAGAAAGCAGTCAGAATCAGAAGTGAGATCCGTCCCCCAATTACAAGTCTACTTTCCCTGACCACGAGGCTCCTTACTGGAATTTTTTAAATGTCATATTTGGTTTGCACAAGATGTACTACAATCATACATGCATACTTCATTCTGGAATCCAACCTGCTAAAATATTTTAAAATCCGTTTATGAGAAGTATACAATTTTGGATGCTGATGATTAAAACTAAAAGCTCACTGAGTCGAACTAAAGAGAGAGTGACAAGGTGATACTGCGTATTTGTTTTTAGTAGTTTTTCCTAAATGGACACCTAGCATTTGGATATAGAGAGACCGGCAAGAGCTCAAGCAGATGCAGCCAGAGTTCATGAGTTCTAGAGCACTCTATTTTCTTCACATTAACTAGCCTTCCACTGAAGTGTTCTCACGGGGAAGCAGTAGCAGATTCTCTCCCATAGTCTTGCCTGGGATGGACATCTCCTATTACCTCTCCCCCAGGCTAAGAGGAACCCCTCTGAGGAGATGATAAGTCCCAGTGTAAGTGGATGTCATAATCTGAGATATGAGAGATTAAAGCTAGATGCAGTTCTTCATAGTGTGTTTGGGAACAGCCAGGCCCTCAGGACAGCCATCAGGAAATAACTGGTGGACTAAATTGAGGGGTGTGGACTCTCACAAAAAGTAGGGGTATAGATGGATAGATAAATTGGAGGTAACTTAAATTTAAGTTTTGCAAACAACTTGAACCGTTGTCATCGTAAATGATCCTCACTATAAAAATATAAAGTGTTAAGAGGATGCAGACATTGTATCTTGTATATATCCGGAATAGTATTTGAAATCATTGGTTGTTATTTCAAAAATGTTTCCTCGTTTTAAGAATTTTGTTTTAAAAGTAAATATTTAAGTCCGTGATTTCACAGTCCTGTAGAGCTAGATGGATTATTTTTTATCCTCCTTGGTATATATTTTTTTCATTTATTTGAAAATATTTTTATTAAGTACATTGTTCTTCATCGCCAAATTATCTTCAGATTATACTTAACTGTATTGGGGAGCTTGAAATTAAATTTAAGATGAAGCTACTCTTTATATGCTTGATGTACATATCTTTTGTAAATCCATTAACCCCAAGAAAAAAAATCCCCTTTACCCCCATAATTCAACATTTATTTTTCTATGGAAGGCCTGAGGAATAGTTGGAGGGGACAAATTTCTAAATTTGAGTCCCAGCTGCAGCCAGGGAAGGTTTATGTCTGTCTGGTAGTTAAGTGTGCAGAGCCTCCGTCCCTCTTGCATGATGATCCTTCTTCTTTTCTCACCGCGTACGTCTTTAAGGGCATTAAAAGAGATCGTGTTCATTTGATAAATGGTAAGGCATACCTTAAAATGAGCAGTTTTATGGATATGTGTGTTCTTCAAATTGTTTTTGAATTTCATTAATATCAAGGATTGTACGCTATAATTTCTATAACCTAACACAGAGTTCAGGACATTGAGTTAAAACGTGTTAATTTATAGGAAACCTTGAAATTATCATAATTAGAAATTGGCAAGCATTGTGGCAGAGGGGAGTTCCACTATTTTTTTCAACTAAGGGCCACTTGCTTATCAAAATTCTGTTTTTCTGATTTAAAAAACAGCCTCAGAAATTTGTCTCTATATATCATTTTATATGATTATTGAACATTGAAGAAAATGCTATTTTATGAAAAGAGCTTATCTTATTTTTAGACATTTCTCAGTGAATAGACACACAGCTAAAACACAATATCAGAAACTTCTGCAAAGTTTATTAGCATACCTAGAGTTTTTGTTGCTTTGTGTAGAATTGTACCTCCTTATACCAGTTGCCATTTATTCAACAGGTGTATTAATGCATTTTAGAGTGTATTCTACCTCGGAATTACTTAAAAATTAAATCTTTTTCTATTTTGTTTTGTGTAATTTTATTTTCATGAGCAAGAAATACAATAAATGAAAAGGCAACAATCAATTATGGCTTTGGATTTTCAAGCTAATAAATTCAACTCTCCTATCTAGGTAATTGAACTGGAAAATCGGCTCCAATCTTTTGAGAAGAGATCAAAAAAATTAAAAGAAGGGAATAGGAAATTAGTGAAAGAGAATGATTTCCTAAAGTCCCTCTTAAAACAGCATGACGACGATGCCGAAAGCAGAGAAAAAGAGCTGGAACAGCGGCTGCTGAAGGGCAGCCGGGATTTCGAAAAAGAGAAAACTGAACTTCAAGTGAAAATTAGTGAGCTGAGGAGTGAAGTCACTTCCCTGAGGGGCCAAGTGGCAGAAGCTAATGGATTGAGAAATGAAAATGAAGAGCTGATAAATTCAATGGAAAAACTGCAGCGTACGTCAGACAGAGGAAGAGCCGAGATGGCGACGGCAGACGTGGGCGCGGGACCACCCGGTTGCAAGACCACCACCACCAAGGTTAAATTTAAAGCCGCCAAGAAAAAGTGCGCGGTGGGTCGCCACCACACCGTCCTCAATCACTCCATCAAGGTCATGAGCAACGTGTTTGAGAACCTCCGGAAGGACGGCTGGGAGGATGTGAGTGAAAGCAGGTGAGGCTCTCATTAACTCCTCTGGTGGCGGGGACACTGCGCATATGTAAAGCACTGGCAAATGGAGGTTGAATTTCAACTACTGTCGATTTGGTATTCAGAAAAAACACTGTCAGATCCTTTGAAATATCTTGGGAGGTCTTGTTCTGAGCTTATTGACTGAAATTTGCATGCAAAATTAGCCACAACTGCAGGAGTATTTGAATAGGTGCCAGGAACCCCCAAAGAAGCAATGCTTGATTTCTTCCAGTGATGCTATTTTCATGCAGTCATGAGGCTTGAAATTGACAGTTTGGCAGGTTGATTTAATTTGCTGGCCCTTTGCATATTCACCACTGACAGCTAAGGATTCCCAAGCAAGCCTACCAAGTCGGTTTAGTTATCTTGTGACATGCCGACCTGGGAGGAGAAACATTTTCCCCCCTTAATTTAGTTGGATAAATTTTGAATGACCCATTTCAGCTTGTTACCAGATGTCTACAAGCTGTTTAACATCCTTTAAATTAAGAACCATCTTCACTAATTATTTCATGTATGTATTATGCAAAGTCATTGTACTAACTTTAATTGAATGGTGGTTAAAATTAGTTCTTTAAAAGTTATATAGCCCAACAGATTTCTGGTCCTAAGTTATATCCCCCCAGTGAATAGCAACAGGAGACTACTAAAAATCTGCACTGCTGCTTCCCCTTCTCCCTGCTGCCGGTTTCTGTAAGCACCTGAAACACTGCAGCTCGAGCCCAAAGGCAGACGGAGGTGGCGCCCCTCTTTTGAATCCTAGACAGCCGGGAAATTCAGTGTTGCCAGAATCGATGGCACTCAAATTGTCCACTTTGCCATACTTTAAAGAAAATGGTGTTTTGCTCGTTTGGTTTTTTTTTCTTTTTTAACATTTTATTAGGGGCTCATACAACTGTTATCCCAATCTATACACACATCAATTGTGTAAAGCGCATTTGTACGTTTCTCAAAACATTTTCTCTCCATTTAAACCCCCGACATTAGGTCCTCATTTTTCCCCTCCCTCCCCGCTCCCCGCTCCCCCCTCCCGCATGAGCCCTTGATAGTTTATAAATGGGTATTTTGTCATATCTTGCCCTTTCGTTTGTTTTTAATGCGAGGTTTTTCATTTTATTTTCTCTAGGCTGGTTGGTTGGTTAGTTTTTAATCCCCAATATGCCTCTGTTCTACATTTGGGCTCTCTCTGTATAGTTTCCTTAATCATATAGAACCAAAAGTCATCTGACAACGTGGTCCTTGAACGTGTGTGCCGTCAGAATCAGTTTGTGATTTTATAAAGGCACCCTAGTGCCGACAGTGGTTAAGTGCTCAGCCGTTAACCTAAAGCTTGGCAGTTCAAACCCTCCAGCTGCTCTGTGAACTTGTGCGAACATTGACAACCTTGGAAGTCCTGTGGGGCAGTTTGCCTCTGTCCTGTAGGGTCACTGTGAGTTGTAATTGACTTAATAGCAATTTTGGGGGAGTGGTAGTGGCTGCTTGGGTTGTGATTTTTGGAGAAATCCCAAAAGTCAAGTCACCTCCTAAATCAATTAAACTACTGACCCTGGAGGAGGGGATTTGGTAGGTATCCAGCCCCCTATCTTCAGACTGCTTAATTAAGAAGAGCAAATTCTGCACTTGTAACTCCCTCTTTACTCTTCGCAGTGTCCTTTCCCTGCCCCCTCAAACCCTCCATGATACAATCCTATTTAAGTTAAAAATCAGCAAGCAGTCCTCGACATCTTCAAGGATGCTGTAGTTTCAATCACCTGGCGCTCCCACCCTCTGACTCTGTGAAAGGTGACGCACTCCACTCTGATTTCATCACATCCGTGCATGTGCACAGGCTCACATATTTAGGGAAACGTATCATACATTATCTCCTAAAATACGGGGCTGTCATTCAAGTTATTTAGCAGGGAAACTGGGTTGTACACCGGTGAGGATTAAGTGTTCCATTTCCTGCCTGACAGGCACTCTCAGAACCACTCAGCTGCAAAGAATTCTTGAACAATGAGAGGTCCCAGAGTGGAGCATCAGGGACAGGTTTCAGAACATCCTATTTCTTTGCGCTTTCGTAGCCTGCAGGGTAAGAAAGTTCCTTGGATACAGTATTGGGAAACATGGAGCCTGGTTTTGGATGTAATGTGGTGGTATTACCTGATTGATACTTCTCTAATTTTTGAATGATATTTTAGAAAGCATGCATATTCACCTGAGGGTAAATCAGAAAAAGTTGTTTATACTGTAGGGGGCGCGAGTCAGAAAATTTCAGTATTTCTAGCAGATTTAAAGAGAAATGAAATTTATAGGAAAAAGCATAGAAATTGGGATTTCTTTATTAACTAGGTGATCATTTATATTCCGTTCCCTTGCTTCATTAAGTTCTTTCAGTGTACCTGGTCAGTTTCCCAAACAGCGCACCCAATCACGAGTCCCTCTATTCCAGCTCACGCAGGAAACCTCTCTCCCACTCCCACCAATGCATTTATTCTCTTTGAAACCTTTTAAAAGACACTGATGCGCCTTAACCTTTCCTCTCATTCTTGTTTCAGGGATGTCATGCTGTTTTGGTTGGTTTATTTTTTTAAAATCTGACCACTTTAGCCCCAAGCCTTCCTCCCATCTTTCTTCTATCCACTTGTAAAGCCATCCAGGTAGATGTGTCATAGAGGCTCTCACTCACTGCCTTCAAGTCAGTGCAGCCACACATAGTGACCCCCTGTGAGCTTCCAAGACTTCACCTGTTTGCAGGAGTAGAAAGCCCAGTCTTTCTCCCAGGAGCTGCTGATCGTTTCCCACTGCCAACCATGCAGGTCACAGCCAATGCGTAACCGTTACATGGAATCTTCAACGAAGCTGCCTCTGTTCAGATTTCTGCCTCTAACATTTCCTGGCTGTGTGACCATATGCGTATTCTTTGACCTGCTGGTGCCTCAATTTCCTCATTTTTTGTAGTGTGGTAATTTTATAACTATTGGTTTGCTATTATTTTTGACATTCAATATAACGCTATGTATTGAGTCACTTTTAGTCATTTATGTTTTTCTGGGACATTACCCTGTTCTTTTATATTCATAAAAAGGTCTTTGTTTAACATCAGTAATTCACAAAGAAAATTAACTCAAATGTATAAAGTTTTAGACAAACAGAAAAGGAGCTTAGAATGCAGACAATGATAATAAAAACCCCAAGCAAGTCGATTCTAGTATTCTGATCCACATCAGTGAGATTCCAGAATATGGAATAACTTGTAGATGTGATCAGTTGCTCTTGGTTTCTGAAGGAGAACATAAGTGGTACAAAAATATGGTAGATAATGAAGTTGTGAGCTGTGAAAATAGGAAGGAGAGTAATTCTATGGCTGTTAGCTCTTTCCCCTAGTTAGTAAGATATAAAAAAATGACCATTTTAGGTGTTCAGTTCAGTCACATTAATTATATTCATCATGTTGTGCTATCACCCTAAATAGGTACTCATTGCCTGTTCAGCAATAACCCCTATTCTCTCCTCCTCTCAGACCCTGCTAACCACTAATAAACATTTGTCTCAATGCATTTGCCTGTTCTAGATAGATTTTATATACATCAGATCATATGATAGCTCTTTTATGTTTCAGTTCTCTTCATGGGTGAATGATGCTTCGTTATAGGTACCACACGCTGTGTATCCATGTATTTGTTGATGGTTTAGTTGACGAGCTTAAAATCGATTTAAAGAAGATTCTAGGGCATCATAAATCAATCATTTGTGGACATTTATTCACAAAGCCAAACCCGGGACACCTCCCCAGTCTTAATCTGGAAAGATGCCGTGTCATAAAAAAATGACAGAATTTAAAAATTATTTTTAAAAAATAAAATAGAAATTAAGTAACTTTGCATTGTGTTCATACAAATACTCCAGAGGGTTCAACTATGTATTAATCTTAGTTTGCATCTAGCAATTCTAAATATTTCTCAAAGTATACTTGGACTGTGAAATTCAGTTATGGACATGACACTCCGAGAAGCAGCTGAAATGAGCTGGAGCAAGGCTTACTAGGATGATGAAGCAGCTTTAAAGCACGCATACTGGAACACCTACACAATCTTGGATGTGTGCCTTAGGGAAGTTTCTCAGACTATCTATGTCCAAATCGTTGAAAGACTCATTGTTTGGAAGAGGAATTGGACTCATATCTCTATTTAAAGAAAGGTCAAAAGTATATGCCTTCGCATCCATTCCAACACATGGTGCATATAAGACAGAGGAGAACTGCCCTAAAGGATTTCCATGCTTGTAACTATGAAGCAGAACACCTCGTCCTGCTCCTTTGGAGCAGCTGGTAGGTGCGAGCCACAGTCTGTCGGTTAGAACCCAAGCATTTAACCACTGTGCCACTAGGGCCTTTATAAGACTATAAAAGCCCCCCACCCTTATTGCTTTAGATTTTCTCTCATAGTGTACTATATGCTATTTATTTTAATTACTTTTCTTCTTATCTATAGCATGGAAGGAATTTTCATACTCTTTATTCACTCATTGCCTTGTCCCGTGTCCGACACATAGTTGGAAATTACAAGTATTTTATTAGATCTCCAGTGACCACAGTGACAGAATTGGGTCAAAGCCTCAGAGATTCAGATTTTGTCCCAGACTAGGGAAATCCTATTTGGCCTGGCTCAGGACGTGGTGCGCGCTCCATCCCTGACAATGTGTGACCGTGGGCTTCCTGAGTGAACACGGGGTGGGTGGTGGTATACAGTGATGCTAGAGGACATTTAATACTGAATAATATCTGTTTGATCTCTTGAAGGGTTCTGTCATTTTGGAAACTATATTTAAACTCTCCTCCTAATGTGGAGGATCAATGCCAAAATAAACTTCCAGCTTTTATAATATGTGCTATAGAATTTTTTTATATTGAGCTTCAAAAAATATATTTAACAACTCATATTCTTGAGTTTTATATCCTCTCGCTTTTCCCTTAAAGTAGTGATTTGGAAACACATACCACTCAAAATTTGGGAACAATTATTGTGGAAACATCTCAGAAAATAAGTCCTGCAGAAGAAGGAAGAGACCAGAAACTATGTGATCCAGGAGAAGACAATGAAACAGATGGGAAAGAAATAATACAAGTATACTCAAGTAGAAATGGCAAGAAGTCAAAGGTATAGGACATTTTTTGCTGAATTGTAATCTGTTTTCTTAATTTTATCTTATGCTTAATATAACTTCATAGGTCTTGTGCCAACAGTTTCATTTGAATTTTTAAAATTTAGCTCCTAATAAGTATACAGAGCGAATAAGTTCTCACTTACTAGTAATGTTGACATATTAATGTGTTATAATTTTTCACAAAATGGAAATAGATGATATACAAATGTACATCTCAAAGTGCTTAATATCAGAAAAATTAAATGTGACCATAAGCTCCATGTTTTACGTGTATGAAACACACTAAGAGAAGAAGCCTCGGCTTTTGTATTCACTTTTTTTTAATGATAAAGTTAGTGTCCAACTTGACCTTCTTTCCTCCTAACTGTGATATATTTTAAAAAGTTGAAATTGTGGTACAATAGACTCAATCATTTTTACCACTAATAATATCATGGCACTAAAAGCTTTACTCACCTTAAAATAAGTGAAAAATTGAAGGGAGTATACTTTAGTTTACTCTAGAAAACAATCATGTCTTTGATATAATTGATATGATTATTTTAAAACAAAAAGGAAATGTGAAGTTCAGACCAAGAATTACATATTACATCTGCTGATTGAATTAAGAAATAGTTTCTATAGAAATCCATTTGCCCACATTATTTGGTTCATAATCCTCTTTAATTACAGTCATTTAGGTGCTACTTAGTAAATTGATAAATAACACGCTCACGGCTGATTGAGGTAATAAGAGAGTGCATTATAACCCAGTGAGTAAGTTTGTGTTATGTTCCTAGTTGGGTAAAGGGTCAGCAAGAATAAAGCCCCTCAACAAGACGGACTGACTCAGTGCTGCCACACTGGGTTCCTTTAGAGCAGTGTTTCGTTCTGTTGTACATAGGGGCACTGTGAGTGGAATCTGACTCGGGGTCACCCAGGAACAAATGCGCATAGGCTTGGTAGCGTTTTCCTCTTCCTCATGGGAAACTTCATTTCAGTTTCTGACCGCTGCCCCTCATGCACACCTCCTGCCCAGCATCCGTGGAGGCCTGCTTGTTTTTTCACTAGATGGACGGATTTCAGTGGCGCTTCCAGAATAAGTCAGACTCCAGGGACAGATCTTGTATTTCACTTTGTGAAATCATCCGGAAAGGTGGGTCATGTGATTCTGTTTTCAACAGAACATGGGGCTGCTGGAGGACGAGGCAGCATTTTGTTCAAGGTGCCTGAGGTCACCATAGTTGGGGACTGACTCCACAGCAGCTAACAAGGTGCACATTTGGGGGAGTCAGGGCATAAATGCTGACTGAACTGGAATGTGAGGGCTTCTCAGACGGTCTAGTCAGTGGTGCTGCTGTGGAAACCTTATCCAGTTCTCCGTCGTTGGTCCTGATCTGACCGGGTCTGGTGCCTCACGCTGGTGATTCGGTCGGTTCTGTGTTGGTCCTTTCCCAGTGGCTGGTGCTTGTCTGCCGCCTGACTCCTTCCTTGGTGTCGTCTCTGCCACTTCTGCAGCCAAGTTCAAAGTAGGCATTTCCAAAACCTTCCGAGACACGATTGTCAGGTTTTTTCATTTTAAAAGCTAATTTAAAGGAAATCCCTCAGACATAGAGTTTCTGATGTTGTTGATAATAATCTGTTCTCCTCTGTTAGAGCTGTGCCTTATATATAATAGTATAACGCATGTATCTAACAAACTAAAATGCCTGGCTCATTGCTATAGCACCATGAGCAAGGTTAATTATCATAGCACATTATTTCAGCTTCATTTGTTAGAAGGCGTTTACCATCTGCATACAGCAGAAAGTCAGTATTTGAGAAGTAGACTAGATTCACAGATAACAAATTAGTAGTGTTCACATTTTATATTTGTTGCTGTATTTACTTCTGTTTTTTTTAACCATCTGTGGGTTGTTTCATTTGGTTTGCTTTTGTTTCTGCTCCATCTACCCCTAGGTCAACTTTGGTGCACAAGATTAGGTTTGTTTGTGACTGTGGGGGATCAACTAAAGAATTGTGTGGCCTAGGCATTCTTAAATTTTGCATAAGTAAGTATATTTGAAGAGAGAAATATATTGGTCCAGGTGAAGTAATACAGTTTTTGTGAAACTTTTCAACTTTAGGAGGTTCTTCATTATAAGAATGCCAAAAAAACAACTTTGCAAAGGAAGAACAATACACAAAGGAGCTCACACACAGCAGCCCCTAACCGAGGTAAGAATACATCAGAAATTAGCAATAGGAGTATGTCTTTTTTAATGTAGTGTGATTTTTAAAATCGTATGCACATTATTTTATATAGTTAACAGAGAAAAATGGAAATGTATAACTGCCCAGAAGTCATCTAGCAACAGTATTATATTACGAGAACGGATCATATCTTTGCAACAACAAAATAACCTACTTCAGAATGCCAAGAAAACTGCGGAATTGTCAGTTAAGGAATATAAAGAAATCAACGCCAAGCTCAGTCAGCAGCAGCAAATATCAGACCAAAGATTTCAGACAAGCCGGCAGACAATCAAGGTAAAGAGAACTTGGCATCATCATTGTTTCCCATGTGCCATTTAGCTCATATGTGTGCTCTTTACACATGCCTATGGATTTGAAATTTTCTTTCCTAGTAGTTGTTAACCAATGTAATTTTCATCGCAACTATGTTCTTTAGTGATGGACACACAAGGGGACTCCCCGAAATTCGTGGAAACTGAACAGGTCAGGGGATTTTCCCATCAACCATCTGAAGGCCCCTCATGTCTTTAAGTCAGCGGGCACGAGAGACGGAACTCCAAACAAAAGAAGACAAATACAATATAAGGGAATTTATTTTTCTCTTTCTCTTTACTTCTTTTGTGTTTTCTTTATTCAAAGTTATACCTTAGTTTTTTATAAACAAGTTTCATAGATGCTATTGCCGTGTCCATTTATTTGCTGATGTCCGAAATATTTTTAACTACCCATTTTGCCTCCATTTCTCTTTGCAAGTACTAGTTGAAAGCGTGAAAATTGTAACATATTTTAGATTGTTCTCAACAAAGTTTTGGCTCTGGCTATCATAATTTAATCTTAAATGAAAAATATAGACTTGTTTATTCTTCAATTTTCTTTCTTAAGCATATTTTCTTGCTGAGTGAACAATTAATTCATTGGTGCTTTGTTGTATGTATAAAATTTTTTCTCATATGGAGAATTATCATAAATTAAGTAATATGGCTCATGTTCATTGTGGCAGAAATGTACAAATACAATGGACAGTGAACTGTAGTTTGATTTGGAAAGACTAACAGTGCCAGCACTGATGAGTTTGTGTGTGGCAACAACCACTAGTAATTGCTACTATTTTCAGTATGATAATTTAAGGTATGTTAAAATGTTAGCTCTGTGCTTGTATGTATATCCACATATGTATACATGCCTTTAAGCCAGTTGTTGAATCACCTAGGTTCACAGAGATCCTGAAACAAGAATGCTCACAGAATGCTTAGCCTTATAACATTGGAAATAACCGGAGTGGTCAGCAGTGCTTAGTTTATGACGCTGTGTGTTCCTGGGATGCACAGTAAGATGTCCAGGAGGGAGTAACTAATAGCGGCTACATTGAATCCTCTAGTATGAAAAGTATCTGTTACAGAGCTGTAGATTCAGATGTATGTATTTCTGAGCTTTCAGAAAGTAAAGGATATCTCCACGATGCACTAACCCCGTCCCAGCCAACCAAGAACAAAGGACAAGTTAGAATCAGAATGCAGTAAGCCACAGGAGCAGAGATGCCCAGACAGTAGATCCTGCTGTTGAAGGGATAGAGCGGTCCTACTAATTGCCCTGGTACCAGGCAGAAATGAGTATAAATCTACTCTGGAGAAATGAGTATAAATCTACTCTGGAGAAAAAGTGTCTTCAATTTTAAGCCCATCAGTTTATCCACCAAATATGAACTTAGAACTGAAAATCATCATGTTCATACAGAAGCAATCCAGTGGGCACACTTTTTTTTTTTTTGGAGTTTACCCTTTAACTGAGCTTGCAGCACTACTAAGAACCCTCCACTTGTGGGCTCTAATTGTCCAGAGTTAAAAATGTTATCATCTCCCATAAGTCCTAATGCTTCTGACCTGGTGACCCCACCTGGCGTGTTAATATATCTTCTGTCACCTCTAGGTCTAGATCCTAAGCACTTTCCTTTCTTATATTTCCAGCTATTCATGTAAAAGAATATTTGGTACTAGATTTTATTGAGAATTTGAGTGTGATAGGGAGCATTTTCAAGTTACAGAGTCTGCCAAATGGCTAGTCGTAACATCTTAATATATCATGATTCCAAATTTTTGTCTGTATTACCTGTAAAACGTGTTATCCAGAATTGAAGAAGATATTTAAAATATGCTTCAGTGAAGAGTATAAGGGGTCTATTAAAGGCTACAAATCTCTAGATGAATGTTTTAGCTGCCACTTCCCTCTTTTCCTAAGTGAGCTATTAAAAGAACTAATAAAAATCACACTGATGTATATAGCCATGGTGCTCCAATAGAAGTGCAATTCATTTCCCCTCTAAATAATTTTTCTCTACTTCATCATTCTTAATTTTGACTCTTTTTGGAGGCTAAGCTAAAGAAGGCTCCCATGGTAGAAGGACCAATGATTGATTGATCATTGCCCTCAGAATAAGCCATCATCATTGGGGCTCACAGTGATAGAAGTATCACAGCAGTTACCTTTCCTCATGACTCACCTGGCTACATTCTGCTCCTTGGTAACTCCATCTTATACCACTGATGCATTTATTGAGTACTTACTGTGTATAGTCTATATGCCCTAAGATAATGAGGGCACAGCTGTGAACCACACAGAGATATGGTCAAAGTCTCTTATATACCAGGGCTCCTTAATTTCTGATTAAGAGTCAGAAAACAAGTAAACATGCACTTAAGTAAGCAAAATAATGATAAAAAGTGAATTATAATCAGGAATAACGGGAAATGTCGGTGAGGGTCAGTTGATTACATTTTTGAAAAGATGATCCTGAAATCAAGGCCTCAAGAACAAGCATTGGTATAAAAATATAGCACAATCACTCAGGATGTCACAGGAGTTCGCACATGTTTGGAAACTACGTTAAGTGTACTGTCTTTCACTACGAAGTAAATACGAATGAGAGCTACTGTGGACAGAATGTATGTGTCTTTAACTTCTACAGTCACCCTGTGAGAGAAGTTATTGTGTCAGAGTAGCACCGGGCTGCACAGGGTGTCCAACGGCCAGTTCTGAAATCTATTGGTAGGCACGTCAGGGACTCACGTTTCCAACCCAATGCTACATATTTTCTCAAATTTTATTTTGATTATTTAATTTTTTTATGATGCCATTTAAAATCTTTTCATCAAGATTAGCTTATGTTTGAATAGTGGAAACATTTGAAAAGTGGTTTCATAATGAAGTTGATAATCTAGAAAACTTGATGTGTCCCTTGTTCACAACTCAAGTCAAGTTCTAGACCAGTCGTTCACATGCTGGGTTTCTGGTAAGTGTTGTGTTCTTTGTGCCAGGCGGTGTTTGATCTAGGTAAATGCGTCTCAGGGGACAGAACATATACAATTGTAGTCCCAGCAAAGAAAGGGCAGTTAGAGTATTCTAAAATCAAAGTAATGTTTAGGTTACATTAATTAAAAATTTCAATTGTTCAATGATATCTGTTACTTTTTATTTATTGCTTTTATTCTTGCTACCTTCCATGAAAGGTTTAAGGCAATTGTTTATTATCATGAATTGTTTTTATAGATTACATTTTATTTGAAAATGCTCTAGAAATACCCTCAATGTTGGCCTTTTGCTTTTACCTTAAAGTCAGTGTTTATATGTTCTTTATCTTTTAAATAAAAATACATTTGATATGAATAAATAGAAATGTCTTAAGCTTAATAAATGAGTAAACTGAGACAAAAATATACAGAACAGGATCTGTGACTACGTCTTCTTCATTTGCCTTTAAGCTCTTTTTCAGCCATGCTAGTATGTAAAACTATTTTAGCTGTAAGAGAAGGTCCCTTTGGGGAAGTTCTCTAAGAATTTTTAAGGGTAGCTTTGTGTACAACCTAGTAACAGTCATACCATTGTATAAGCTATAGCTGTAACTGTAGTTTATAGGGCACGTGGGCGAATTCTTCAATTATTTATCTTCAGAACTAAGGATATCAGACACTGGAATATGTCAATAACGTATTTGAGTTCATAATGCCATTTATATTAAATTAAATTTAAGATACTTATAAAAATGTGTAGAACATTTTATGGCACTTTAGAATTGGAAAAGCACGTCACATACTTTTAAAGTCCAATACACAGGGAATCCCATAAATTAATTTGGAATCATTTCCCAGGTTTTATATGTAAACAGAGTTTGTCTGGTTAGATGGTTTTTCTAAGGTTCATGACTGATGAGTGGTAGGCTTAATCTTGAACCCTGTATTGTGACGAGAGAGTCATGTCTCTCATCATCCTGCTTGTACTTTTAGGAAATTTAATAATATTGACATTCTGCTCTTAAATATGTTAGTTTGTTGTTTGTTTCAAAATTAAGATATGAGCATTTTTTACTTAAAACATTCAGATGTAGTGTTGCTTAGCCAAGAGGAGAAACATGGACATTTCTGACCAGTTTCATGTGCACGAGTATTTAGCAAACATTTTCAAGTTAGCACAGAGCATTTGTGGTTTTTATAAGCAAAAACTATAAACACCCACTTGGAAAATTTAGCAGGTTCTAGTTGAATGGAGTATGTATTTGTTGACATCTGTATTTGTATATTTAAGCTCTATTCCCTGGTCTTGTGCTCTAGTTGTTAAATGTACCCAATACAGAGGAATTATCACTTCATTTTGCAGTTTTGTCTTCTACTAAAGACTCTAGGTTCTTTGCAAAAGTCATATTTTTAATCCAGTCTCGGTAACTGTAATTGCTTTAAAACTTCTGTAAAAAAAAAATGTAGGTATTTTCAACTGTTATCTCTTAGTAGTTAATGGCATTTAATATTATTAATATCAATTATCTTGGTCAATCATCTTATTAATTGAAATCCCTTTAGTATTCTGTAACACCCTTTACACAGACACTTTCCAAATTCTAGTCCTAGAATTGTTATAATTAATCCTTAGAATATTAGGTTTCGTTTATCATTTGCTAGTTTTAAGATCTCAGGAAGTCACAAGCTTCTTAAGCCATGTATTTCTAATCTTTAAAAAGCTCAACTAAAAGTACTTCACATGAAAACTGTGAAACATACAATTGAAACCATTCTCTGTGTATTGACGTACCTATGCAGAACTCTCGTCTCCAGCTGAGTAAATGGTAGGATTACTGCCTTTTTTAAAAAAATACTTTTATTGGGGGCTCTTACATCTCTTATCATGGATTACTGCCTTTTAATTTCCATTTTATTCTGTTTAGTGTAAAGACAAAGAAAATCTCTTTATTATAGAATATATTTTTTTAATTCAAAAGATTCAGTGTTAGGGAAACAAACTACATCTAC